GTGTGTGTGTGTGTGTGTGTGTGTATGTATCTGTGTGTGTGCGTCTGTCCAGGTATTTCGACTTGGCAACTCGCAAGCTCCGGCGCCAAAATTTTGCCTATTGGTTCCCCGCCAAGGTGCCACTCCAGGGACGTGGCGCCAACCGTCATGCAAGTCTGGGCCCCGCGTACGAGAGGCTGAAACTTCTGGAGGGAAAATCGCCAACTCGAGAACCAAAAAAGACAGAAAGCTGAAATTATAGGGTTATGTTCCCCAGCCACCTAGAACTCAAGGATTTCAAATTCAGCCTGCAGGTGTGCGTGTTTGCCATATACGGCCCTGTGGAATTTTTTGTGGGAAGAACTGCTAACTCGTGAATCAGGGAAGCTGGAAGGCTGAAATTTTACGGGGATGTTCCGAGCCCATGTACAACTTAAAGTTGTCAAATTCAGCCTCTCGGCTTGTGTGGTTCTCACGTACGGCTCTGTGGAATTTTTTGGCTGGAAAATAGCTAAGTCGGGACCCAGGAAAGCTGACAGGCCGAAATTTTAGGGTTATGCCCCAGCCTACGTACAAGTTAAGGATTTTAAACTCAACTCCCAGATATGCTCCCAGATCCCGTACGGCCTCGTGGAAATTTTGGAATTTGCTAACAAAAGAATCAGAAAAGTCGGGAGGCTGGAATTTTAACCGGATGATCCCTGTCCAAGTACAACGTAGCTGCACAATTAACTTCCCGAACTTCGAGGACCAGTATGTCACAAATTTTAGCCATTGGGTCACCGAGCGATCTTATTACAGCATAAAATACTGCAAAAATGCACGATCGCACGAGCCCACCTGGTTCGCGTCGCCAGTGATTTGCAATAACTCTTGATGAAACATTTACGAAGTATAGATGGTGGATACTAACTGGAAACATGCTAGTTGTTACTAAATTAAAAAGCACTGAAATTGGGCGGATTGTATTTTCTCTTTTGCTAGATGCTGAAGCCGTTGATGAAATGATGTCAACGATGAGATGTCAGAAAGGTGAGAACTACCTGCTGTACAGGAAAGATTTGGTACCGCTGCGGTTTCACTATGCGGGCTCATCACGGATAGGTGAAGTTGTAATCGCAGGGCGTCCCGGTGTATGTATTTTCTTGTAAGTTTTACTCTTTTGAAAAAGCACGGACTGCTACAATAAAGCCAGCTGCGCCATATTTACTTACAGATGCTTTCTCTAAGATTATCTTTTTAGTCGTGTTTTTATAAAATCACGTTAGACTCTCGGTAACTCTCGGTAACCCATAAATTCGTTGGAAGCTCTTGGTGCGAATTCAAACGTGTGAGAGACAACAGCCGTGTTTATCATGTCTTTGAACAGTTGAAGAAGAGGAGCTACTCCCGAATAAATACGTTGCCATTTGACTGCAGTGCACCAGGCCTGCAGGCGCGATCACGCCTTTTTGCACCAACCTTGAGGCAAACAGATCGTTAACTGTATGGCTGTTGTATGGTTGTTGCTTTTCATTTACTTGTGTGCTTTCTAGCGTAAACTATCGTAAGTTCTGCACTTAAAAAAATGAACAATTTTCGTCGAAAATGACCTAGCTGTAGAGCAAGCAGTTTTACCGGCAAAACTTTTAACTGCTCACATGTAAAAACCACGCAGACCTGGGAGCTGAATTTGAAATTTTTTATTTTTTGTTATCAGGAGATATTCCCCTAAAACCTCGACTTTCTAGCTGTTCTGATTCCCGAGTTGGCAATTTTCCCTCCAAAACTTTCACGCGTGTCTGGAGCTGAATTTGAAATCTTCAAGTTCTACGTGGACGGAGAACATCCCCTCAAAATTTCAGCTTCGCTGATTCCCGACTTAGCAATTTTTTGTCAAAAGTTTCACGTGCTCGTAGACGGGCTCAGATGTGCTTGAGAGTTGTTATCGCAATCCTGTGGTGGCACCTGGCCGGGGAACCCACTGAGAAAATTTCAGCGCTGAAGCTTGTTTGATTGCTGAGTTTGAATACCCGGACAGATGCACATACACGCATACACTCACATGCATATATATATACACACACACACACACACAAACAAATAAACACACACACACCATTGGTCGGCACAATACTTGTTATGCGTTTTTGCTGTGCAGCGCTGTAGCAGACAGCCTCTCGACAGCGCTATAGCGCTGCTACAGCCAGCAAAAACGCATATTGTCGAGAGGCTGTCTGTGTGTGTGT